AAAGGGAGGATTTTGTGTCCAAAGTACGATGATGTATGCATTTTTTTCGATACAATTAATGGAGGTGGAGACGTGAGCAGTTTGCTGTCAGCTTTTCCCCCGATTCCATTGGTTATGCTGGTTCTTATTTTTATTTCAATGTGTTAATGATTTTGTAAAAGAAACGCGTGTTGTAATCGTTCAATTGGGAATGTGCCAGTTGTTAGTCAGTACTGTTAATTTGTCTTGTTTAATTATTTTTAATTCCTTAGGGGCACATTTATCCCCAATTGAAAAGAGATGCTTTGATAGTAATATATATATATATATGTGCGGTCCTGAGCGGCCTCTATTTTTTCTCTGCTATTTATTTCAGGTCAAATTAGTATTTTTCCAAATTGAACCGGATCTTGCGTCAAGAACGCAAAAGAAGCAACGCGCGTGTGGGGCAGCATTTATAGAAAAGAAGCCATTTGCATTGTTGGAGCGTAGTTTTTTTTTTTTTTTGAATTTGCTTGTCATTTTCCCTTGTTTTGTTTTTTAATGGTTGTGAGAGGAATGGTGTGAACGGAGGTGTGTCTACAGGAACAACCAATAATAATGTCTTCTTCTAGGAGCTTGTGAGGAGAATGAACGCGAGGAAGGTTGGTTGCCCAAACTAATATATCCTCCTGATGAAGCGAATATATTTATTTACGATAATTGCCCATCTTTTGAAAGCTCTGCAACACCGCGATGGAGGGAGTCGAGGAACCGATAACGAAAAGAAGAATGCCTTTTTTTCTTTTTTGCTTTCCCACTCATCCTCTTTTGATCCCCACCTCGCGGCGGGGTCTTGTGGTTGGATGAGCACAAAATTTTCCACTTCTCAAGGAAGAAAGATCACCAATCTGAATAGACTGCGCCGTGTCACGAGAGTGGCTCTCCGAATACAAATGTATTTACTTGGAGCAAACATTGAGGATGTGGCGAACCCGCTGCCTCTCCATTTACCCCTTTTCCCCGTCTTGCTTGTTTTCTTTAGATGATTTTAGGATTCGTCCAGCGGTCCAGGCGATTATTTTCCCCTATCTATTCTTTTGAGGCCTAGCGCAAAGCATATTCATTGAGGGAGAGATTTATGGGTGAATTCATGGCTCGGACGGCATTCACGAGACACACACGCCCACGACCACACTCTGAGGTTGTGTGTCCAACGACACTTTGTCTTTGCCCAGCGAATTACCCGCCATTGAGCCACCACTTGGGCGGCGTTCTCACCATTAGCAGGCGGCGAACTCGTTGCAAGGCGGGGCCAGGACAAAGGGATGAATTGCACCTCGTTGCGACACTCTGTGGCTGCTATCACCGTGCCGAGGAACCCTGAGTCCATTCGAGCCTCTCTGAAGAGGAAGAAGCACACCACTGTTTGGAGCAAGTGGGCGGCACCTGAAGGAAGGCGGTTGGCGCGGCACCGTCCATATGAGTGTGCCCGGGCTCAGTTGGAGGATAAAAAATATTGGCGTGCAGCTCAGATGTCCACGCGCGGTTCCAGGCGGTGCGTATTGGATTGGCGCTGATGCAAAAGCTGCCCACATCAATCAATGGGACGACAACTTGGCGACCATCAGCACTCAGCCAGGCGCGTCACAAGTCTCCACCGCTTCTGCCACGGGAAGTTGGAATGCTTTTCATACGGCAGAGACAATCGAAAGATCATGCAAATTCATGACGTGCCAGAGGGGGATTAGAGCTGTTACTCGGCACACGGGGGACCAAGTGGGGAATCCGTGGGAGGCGGGGATTTGTCCGGAGGATCGCAGTCGCACCATTTGACGGCGTATTGAATTGCATGATGGACGCAACGCCTGGCCACAGCTCCTGGATGCGTCTTGGGTCGCCTTTGCGACGTCGGCTGCGCCAGGCCCCGGCATGCAGACAGTTGTGAGGAGAACGGTGCGCCCTGGGCGTGCGCCATCCGCGAGGAGGAGATGCTCATGGAATCGTGCCGGTTGTCAGGGCGACTGCGTACACTCAGTCAAATGGATCCTCCGGACAGTGAATAACGATGCTGGAGCGCGGGTCGAGGACATTCAGGGTGCTGTCTAAATGCCCAGAGATGGGACTGCCCATTCCCCCAGGCGGTTCAGAGAGCAAAGAAATAGCATGGCGCACCCCCGCCCAATGAAGCACGATGCCGCAAACGTGGTCGGATTGGACAACACAACACGGCGTGCCGAGTGAAGCTGCAAAAGGAGGCCTATAAACACACACAAAAAGGACTTTCGGCTCCGGAAGCAATGACTTCTGGGCCGGCACAGGTGGGACATCGTCATCAATGTACGGGTGTGACCGCGCGGCATGGGTTCCTCTCAGCGCTGCGCTCGTGGTGATGCCGTGGGACACCTCCCCAAGACGTCGTGGAGCTGTCACCGTTGGTGGAAACGAGTTCGCGCACCGGGCAACAGTGCTGTGAGCACAATTGGCGCCGGGGAAGAACGGCACACGACCATATTTTCTGAGGGCCAGAGCATTGTTCGGCGCACCCATAGCCGTCGGGTTGCGTTGCGGGAGGAGAAGGAGGATTGCTTGCCCCGGCGAGGAGTGGACGTGTGCACTTTTATTACTCCCTGAAGTGGATCCGACGGCGGATGAATCCAACGGCACGCGACTGTGTTGACGATTGTGGAAGGACACCGTGTTACGATCCGTCACCTCGACGAGCGATGGGAAAGAACTGAATTTGCGGAACTCCGTACAGCATGCGCTGCTTGTGGGAAGGGCGGGTATTATTTGTAGAGCCATGGGGGGGCCTGTCGCGGGGTGGGCCGGCGGTGTTGGACAAGCCGTCAGTGCGTGGATGGCGGTTCATCGCGTGGCCAAAGGCAAAGAACGCCCATTAGGACTCCGGGGTCATGGTTACTCTGCCATTTCACATTTCACAGTATCTTAGCGCATTGTGAAACGAAGCCGCCGCTTTGGTGGAATTGTTCGCGCCTTTTTACAGGCAGCTCTTTTGGCGGATATGCGCGGGCGAGTTTCCGCTGTCGAGTGGGATTTGTGGATCTCGTGGAATCGACTCGCCTCCACACGGGCCACGAGAGTTGTCCGGAAGTTCCCCGCACCACCGCGAGGGTCTTGGCGGAAGGCCCCGAGATGGTAAGACCGCAGTCTGAGGCGCCGCGCGTGGTAAGGAGACTTCTGTTGGGATTTGCAGTATCCGAACCAGCGGGCTGCGGAGGAGCGTGGTTCGGCGGGACCAATGTGCGGCCAAGAAGTGGCGCCAACGGGAGAACAGGAAGCCCTTTCCAAGTGGTGTGAATCTATTGGCTTATCCTTCAGTCGCGAGACGAAGAGCGCCGCCTTGAAGCACGATGCGAAGACGAGGATTGAGGGAGGCCGCGTTTCTCCGAACAACTGCAGCTGAGGGTGTGGATGGTGTGGCCCCCGTATGATGCTGCGCGGCGGTGCGGGGTATTATCTCTTTTGACATTAGCTCTTGTTTTTTCAACATATAGCATCCCCGACTGTCGTGTTCTCACGATCCGGCAGGAGCGGCCCCGCAAATTGCCGGAGAAGGAGCTCGTTCGCCTTGGGGCAGCCTCGCCAGCTCCTGCCATGTTGGCGACAGACGCATCCATGCACGGATGGAGCGGTTTACTGCTTTGGGGGCGAGGGAATTGTTGGCGGCTGGCGGGGACGGATGCCAAACGCAATTCGCCCGCCGACGACACCCCGATGGGATCACCACTGGTGGAGTTTCGCTGCCCAACATGTGGGTTTTAGCACTAAACCAATGACGGACTGACCCGCCACCGCACGGCATGCCACGGGCATCAACCAGACATCGCGAAAACCGGCGAACGTGAATTGTGCAATGAAACAAGTCCGTATCCACTCCGCTGCCCCGGCGCTGCCGGCAATTAGACAAAACATGAGGCAGACACTTGGGAAGTGGGGAAGCTGTGCCTCACGAAAGGGTTGGCGCAGTCTCTTCTCGGGGTGGAAAGGCTCTGCCCCCCAACAGCGCCTCTGCGCGGCGAGAAGGCACGAATCTCCTGGCAGATGCGACGTAACTTTGATGCTGGTGGCGGGCGCCTCCTCACTTCTCATTATTGATCGATTATTTGGTTGGTTGATTTATGGTTTTGTTATTGTGCTGATTATCGGCAGCAGTGGATGATTGAGCCACGGTGCTAGCCCTTGGCGGAGGCGTGACAGGGTCGTGTTTCACGCCCTTCGCTGCAGCTGCCTCTCCGGGGGCCGGGGCTCCCCTTCACGTCTCCACTCAGCAGGGCGGACGTGCTCGATGATGGTGGCCGGCGTGTGGGTCGTCGAATTTATTTGAAGAATCACGGGAAAAAACAACAACAGCAAAAAGCGGTTGGAGTCAGATTCCTTAGCCACGGAGTGACGGGTCGTAGCGCATGTGCGTATACGTTGTTGCCAGCGACCCCTGGGAGGTGCTGCGGAGGGGCTTCCTCCCGCACGCACGAGGCGTGCACACGGCGGACGGCCTTTGCGCTGCTGGAGGAACTTTCGGCACTGCGGGGGAGTCACAGAACGCACCATGGGATTGGCATGTTGGCTTTTGGGGCAGCTTTTGGCGACGCTCCGATCCGCCGTGTTGGAAAGGCCGGCGTGGTGATGGGGCGGTGGAGAGAGCAACGGCGAACACGGCGAATTTTATGCAATACGGTGGCAGGAGGTGCAATGCGGAAGAAACGGTCATGATTACTGCACTGCCGGCGCGCCTGTTGTCGAGCACCTCGAGAGAACGACGGTGGAAGGAGGTTCGTCCGCATTACTCTTCGCATCCCCGCTTCAGGGCTGCCCATCACGATGAGGCTGCCGTGCGGTGATGCGACATGATATGAGCTGCTTGGTGAGAGAGTGTGTGCTGTGCGCTGCTCCTAGCCCTAGAGAAGCCGATGATACCTCGTATCCGCCACAGGCACAAAACCCTGCTTGTGGTTACGGACAGTCAGTCTCTCCCAGCTGTCCTTCGTGGATAAGAATGGGGAATAAAATGGCGCTTGGGCGCAGTTGGTCCAGTGGGAGAATGCCCGCATTATCCTAGCGGGGGGCCCGGGTTCGATTCCTGCCACTGCAGAGACGTGGTGCATCTTGCGATCCCGCTGGCGACTCTCCCCTTCCACCGCTGCTTTGCGCAAGAGGTCACCACAGTCATTTTTGTGGTTTGGTCGGCCTCGTGTTGTGCCCCGGGTTCTCCCCCTTCATCGCCCTGCGGTGCTTCCTTCGCCGTCCCTGGCACCTGTGACTGTCCCGTGACGGTCTGTTCCGAAGCCTGACTGCCCTGGGAGGTCCTCCCGCCACCAGCATGCACTCCACACGCTGCCTGCTGAGATGCGTCGGAGCGTGGGGATGTTGTGCCTGCGGCGCGCCCTCCGCCCAAAGACTCCGGTCCACTTGCACGCATCCGAGCAGCAGACGCGCTGCCAGTGCCGGATGGAATGCAAGTGCCACTCCGCAGTGGGTCGCTGCTGGATTGGTCCTGCCTCGTCGGAGCAGTGAGTGCTCCCCCCGAGGTGGGATTATAGCCCTCACCCACGGTGTTTCCTCCACCCTCCTCATCTTCCTGATTGCTATTGCCCTCAGAGTTCACATTCCCCTTTCGTCCAGAGCCACCGGCCACGGGTCCACCCTCCGCAGCCATCACAGCTTCCGCGTGCCCAGCAGTCACCACGCCATCACCCGTGGCCGCACACGCACCCCGTCGCAGCAGCCCTCACTCACACGCACGAGCAGCTGCGCATCACTGCAGGAGCCAACAGGACGCAGAGCACACGGCCAGTCATCATCACAAACAGTGGAGTCGCCTAACGCTGCGGAGCCAACCTGCGATAGCACGAGAAAAACAAAGGGAGACACAGCCGCTACACCACGCACAGCAACAAATGGCAGCACCCCAGCAGCAGCGCATACACCACGAGACACATGGAATCAGTACGATTGCAGAACCTTCAAACAGCCCTGCAAACCACAAGTTTAAAAGGCAAGAAAAAACAAACAGTAATAAAAAACAGGGCTCCAGTTCGCATGCATACAAGTGTGTCCGCGATGCGTTCAACGTGGCAGATGTGGGGCACAACACGGAGCACACAGCACGGCACCAGAGGCAAACGAAGCAAAACACAATCATCATAATTCCTCTTATTTTACACAGTGAACCACAACACATGCGCACAAATCCCGCGGTTGGGTGCTGGCACGCACCGCCCGCACACACACTCTTCCTTCTCTCTCTCTGTGTGTGTCCCCTTGCATGGACTCTCGCCCTCACCTCACCCCACGAGGCACACACAATAATGTGCCCATTGTATATATGCATGCACACCCATGCAGGCCCGTTGGTGCTCTCTTTTGCACGACACGCACCGCTGCCGTCCTGCCTGGCTGCATGGGCGGAGCACCGTAACTGTTTCTGTTTTGTTTTTATTGCATTGAGTGGGCGACCTCTCTCTCTCCCCCTCTGTGTGTGTGTTTTGCTTTACGGGAGTAATGAGAGTGTGTGTGCGCTGGTCGTCCCACGCTTCGGCTTTTTGTTTTGTTTCCCTTTTGATTTTGTGGTTGAGTGCACCCATTCCGCGGCTGCGTGTGTGTGTGATGATATGAGTAATTTGCGTGTGTGCTATCTGCCTCTCTCTGCCGTTGCTTTCTTCAGACTCTCTTGGGGCGCACAGCTGCTCCGCAAGTATAGGCGCTGCCAAACACACAAGCACATGCACACACACATGCCGTGTTTAAAACGCTGAGAATGCACGCACGCACAGGATTGTGGCTGCGGAGGCCCTCGCGAGGGGGGAAAAAGCCTGCATTTTGTTTTTTTTTGACATGTTGCTCGGTGTGTGCTGACGCGTGACGAATAACAACACGCCCCAATAAGCAGAAAAGAAGTAAAACAAAATGGCGCTGAGCGGCACACCGGTAAGCCAAAAATACGCAATCACCAATAAAAAAGCCGGCGATCACCCAGCAGGCACATCAAGCGTCCTCAAAACCAACCTGGAACAGACAAAAAAAAAGAGACAATCATAGAAAACAAAGATCCCCGCCCCCAAACAGGAAAAACATTAAAGAAAACGCGATTTTTTTTTTGTCCTTACTGCCGGGGTTGGCCGCTGCAAGAAATAAAAAATGGTAGGGCGGTGGCCCCGGACGTTAGATACAACACGACGTGTCGAATTATCCAAGTTTGCAGCGGCTGCCCCGGACGTTAGATACAGGACGACGTGTCGAATTATCCAAGTTGCAGCGGCTGCCCCGGACGTTGGATACAACACGACGAATCGTAGTAACCACGCTGCGGCGGCGCACCCTAAACATGTCGTTTTCGTTTTCCAGGGGACAACGCAAATGTGCTCGATTGTTCGAAGATCGAAATTAATACTTTACGTGAAAAGGGGTCGCGCGACCGCATTTTTATAGCTCAGTGGCAAACACGCTCACAATGTCATCCGGGGACGCGGGTTCGATTCCCGCAGAAGCCTAAGTTTTTTCCATTTTTTTTTGAATTCTTGTTTCATATTGCTTTTTAAACTTCTGGTTTGCAGGACGGTGTGCGAGTTCTGCAATCGCACTGATTCCATCTGTTTCGTGGTTTGTGCGGCTGCGGCTGCGGTGGTGGCCGCGTGAGAGTGAGTGTGAGAGAGCCATGCACCGCCCGCACACACACTCTTCCTTCTCTCTCTGTGTGTGTGTGTCCCCTTGCATGGACTCTCGCCCTCACCTCACCCCACGAGACACACACAATAATGTGCCCATTGTATATATGCATGCACACCCATGCAGGCCCGTTGGTGCTCTCTTTTGCACGACACGCACCGCTGCCGTCCTGCCTGGCTGCATGGACGGAGCACCGTAACTGTTTCTGTTTTGTTTTTATTGCATTGAGTGGGCGACCTCTCTCTCTCTCCCTCTGTGTGTGTGTTTTGCTTTACGGGAGTAATGAGAGTGTGTGTGCGCTGGTCGTCCCACGCTTCGGCTTTTTGTTTTGTTTTCCTTTTTGATTTTGTGGTTGAGTGCACCCATTCCGCGGCTGCGTGTGTGTGTGTGTGTGTGTGTGTGCGATGATATGAGTAATTTGCGTGTGTGCTATCTGCCTCTCTCTGCCGTTGCTTTCTTCAGACTCTCTTGGGGCGCACAGCTGCTCTGCAAGTATAGGCGCTGCCAAACACACACACACATGCACACACACATGCCGTGCTTAAAACGCTGAGAATGCACGCACGCACAGGATTGTGGCTGCGGAGGCCCTCGCGAGGGGGAAAAAGCCTGCATTTTGTTTTTTTTTGACATGTTGCTCGGTGTGTGCTGACGCGTGACGAATAACAACACGCCCCAATAAGCAGAAAAGAAGTAAAACAAAATGGCGCTGAGCGGCACACCGGTAAGCCAAAAATACGCAATCACCAATAAAAAAGCCGGCGATCACCCAGCAGGCACATCAAGCGTCCTCAAAACCAACCTGGAACAGACAAAAAAAAAGAGACAATCATAGAAAACAAAGATCCCCGCCCCCAAACAGGAAAAACATTAAAGAAAACGCGATTCTTTTTTTTGTCCTTACTGCCGGGGTTGGCCGCCGCAAGAAATAAAAAATGGTAGGGCGGTGGCCCCGGACGCTAGATACAGGACGACGTGCGAATTATCCAAGTTGCAGCGGCTGCCCCGGACGTTAGATACGGGACGACGTGTCGAATTATCCAAGTTGCAGCGGCTGCCCCGGACGTTGGATACAACACGACGTATCGTAGTAACCACGCTGCGGCTGCGGCCCCGTACGAGAGATATATGACGACTTATCGTAGTAACCACGCTGCGGCTGCGGCCCCGTACGAGAGATATATGACGAACTTATCGTAGTAACCACGCTGCGGCGGCGCACCCTAAACATGTCGTTTTCGTTTTCCAGGGGACAACGCAAATGTGCTCGATTGTTCGAAGATCGAAATTAATACTTTACGTGAAAAGGGGTCGCGCGACCGCATTTTTATAGCTCAGTGGCAAACACGCTCACAATGTCATCCGGGGACGCGGGTTCGATTCCCGCAGAAGCCTAAGTTTTTTCCATTTTTTTTTGAATTCTTGTTTCATATTGCTTTTTAAACTTCTGGTTTGCAGGACGGTGTGCGAGTTCTGCAATCGCACTGATTCCATCTGTTTCGTGGTTTGTGCGGCTGCGGCTGCGGTGGTGGCCGCGTGAGAGTGAGTGTGAGAGAGCCATGCACCGCCCGCACACACACTCTTCCTTCTCTCTGTGTGTGTGTGTCCCCTTGCATGGACTCTCGCCCTCACCTCACCCCACGAAGCACACACATAATGTGCCCATTGTATATATGCATGCACACCCATGCAGGCCCGTTGGTGCTCTCTTTTGCACGACACGCACCGCTGCCGTCCTGCCTGGCTGCATGGACGGAGTACCGTAACTGTTTCTGTTTTGTTTTTATTGCATTGAGTGGGCGACCTCTCTCTCTCTCCCTCTGTGTGTGTGTTTTGCTTTACGGGAGTAATGAGAGTGTGTGTGCGCTGGTCGTCCCACGCTTCGGCTTTTTGTTTTGTTTTCCTTTTTGATTTTGTGGTTGAGTGCACCCATTCCGCGGCTGCGTGTGTGTGTGTGTGTGTGATGATATGAGTAATTTGCGTGTGTGCTATCTGCCTCTCTCTGCCGTTGCTTTCTTCAGACTCTCTTGGGGCGCACAGCTGCTCCGCAAGTATAGGCGCTGCCAAACACACAAGCACATGCACACACACATGCCGTGTTTAAAACGCTGAGAATGCACGCACGCACAGGATTGTGGCTGCGGAGGCCCTCGCGAGGGGGGAAAAAGCCTGCATTTTGTTTTTTTTTGACATGTTGCTCGGTGTGTGCTGACGCGTGACGAATAACAACACGCCCCAATAAGCAGAAAAGAAGTAAAACAAAATGGCGCTGAGCGGCACACCGGTAAGCCAAAAATACGCAATCACCAATAAAAAAGCCGGCGATCACCCAGCAGGCACATCAAGCCTCCTAAAAACCAACCTGGAACAGACAAAAAAAAAGAGACAATCATAGAAAACAAAGATCCCAGCCCCCAAACAGGAAA